ATTTGATCAAGACTCCAAAATATTTTGGCATTGCAATTTAAAAAATTTTTATCCATATTTTAAAACTTTATTAAAACTTAATTAATTAAAGTAAGTAGTAAAATTTTGTTAGTTTGCTACATTCATGCATTGTGTTGAATGTAGCAAACTAACTTTTGATCAACATCTTACTGCATCTATGTTCATGGTCCTGTGACATTAAAGTAGAGACTAAGGTCATATAATATTGGAGAACAGAAAATTTTGATTACTGAAAATCTCAGATGTTGATGTAATCTGATGGGGAAAAAGTGGTTGGTATATATACAAGGGAAAGCTTGTTAAGAAATCAGCAATATTGATCTAATGTGATTGTGCTACAAGGTATAAAGTTTACTGTACAATTGGTGCTGCTAAGTTTTAAAATTAAAGTTTAGAAAATTTGCAAAAGTTGAGATTTCCTCAGATTTAAACTATATATTATATAACAAATTAAAAATTATGACCCAGAAATAATTACATAAATATTTTAATTAATGCTATATATGTATTCTATTCACAATCCTTCAGTTTGGAGTGAAAGTATATAGTATTAAAACACTTTACATTCTTTTTATTTAAGAAAGTTCTGAACAGTGTTTTAGTACTATATGTATAGTGTTTTGTCTATTTAGTCAATACAGGTATACTAACAGGTATAAAGCTTTTTGAAACACATATCTAATATGGTGTTCACATAATGTTCTATTCCACATCATGGTTGTAAGCATCATTTTATTCAACTTTAAGCCTAATTTAGTCATAATTAAGACTTACTAATTTAAAGAAATAACTCCAGCATAAGAGAAAAGCTTTATAATTGTATAATATCAAGGATTCATAGTTTTATGTAGAGAATGTAAGTTCAAATTTTTAAAATGAAAATTAACAATTGGCAAGTGCCAAATCCAACAGAGGGTGCTGTTTTTGAGCCAAGATGGCTGCCAAAACAGGTAAGGAATGACCACGTGTTTGTTCAGTGCCTGAGCCAATTCAGTTTCTATCAGTGACGATTACTGCGAGGACCAAATGAAGAACAAATCATTGAATTTATATCAAATTCTAGACTATATCGATGACAGGAAACATTGTCTTGTAGAAGGTGAAACTGTATTGGATATATGAGACATACTGTACGCACACATACACACACAAAACATAATGTGTGCTACAAACTTTTGACTGGCCTATGTTATATAAGTGCTGAATGACTCAGCAGAGTAGCCTTCAGATTGGCACTAATTTTAACTGTTATGATAAATAAAACTGTTTTTATATTGGAACATGGTGTATACTGCTTAAAATATTTAAATATTTCTCACCTGTTAATGTGTAATAAACATGCTATTACATGTTTACAAAAACCAGACAGCCCCACTTTGCACATGCATTCTCCCTGTAATTGAGATGTATTAAAATGCTAATATCTGATTGCAACATTAATGCAACAACATGAACTTCGGTGTTGTTGTTAGAGTTTAATCCACAAAATACGATGTGCCCAGCATCCAAAACGGCTTCACCTTCTACAAGACAATGTTTCCTGTCGCCAATATAGTCTAGAATTTGACATAAATTCAATGATTTGTTATCCATTTGGTCCTTGCAGTAGTCGTCACCGATAGAAACTGAATCGGCTCAGGTAATGAACAAACACATGACGGTTCCTTACCTGTTTCAGCAGCCATCTTGGCTCAAAAACAGTGCCCTCTGTCGGATTTGGCACTTTCCAATATCATTTCTATTTATTACTGTATAACAAAAATAAAAAGGAAATAATTAAAATAATTAGTGAAATAAAGCAAAACATGGAAATGTCTGTCTTTTAGATCAATTATAATGTCAAATGTAAATGTAAATCAACATCACCCATTAAAATTAAAGTGTAGAGCTATTATCCAGTTCAAAATAGAATTTAGTGAGTATTATCACATCATAACAAATTGTGAAAAAATGGTTACTAACCATTAGTAAAAATGTATAGTGTTGTAATAATTATTATGAAAATTAATTTATGTATAAAGAAAATTGTAATTTTACAATTGTCAAAGGTACTACAGTGCTACAGCACTGTAATGCTTGATCTTTACGTAGATATTTGTGAAAATTTCAATTCCAAATTATTCAGCCTAATTTTAATCTGATTTTTTTTGTTTGAATTGCTTTTCCAAGAACTTCATGGCTTCAAATAATTTTGTGAGGTATACTGTAACTCTAATTTGCACATAACTTACAATTCAAAAAATGATAAAATATTATCAAGGGTTATAGCCAAACCACTGGTTCAGTGTTGATGGAACTAGTCTCAAAAGATGTGCAAGAAGTTAAACTGAAGGACATCATTCCTTAGATCTTGAATCTCTAAGTTTTCAATATATTTGTATATTTATCAAATCAGTCAAATTTTTGTTGTACTTTAGGGTTCTGTGTCCCTAAAACTAATGCAGTGTTGATTAAAATTTGATACAAATACAATTTTATAATGCTGTATCCAATTTTGGGTGGTTTGAACTTATATGTTGAATTATCATACAGTATGGGGGCACCAAAATCTTTTTAAGTGCTTAGGGTTCAAAGTCTTAATCAGGCACTGTTTTCAACATACATTGGAGCTTGTAGCTTGGCAACCAATGGTCAGCTGATAACTAGATATATTGATATATCATTATAATTGCTATGAAAAGTTCTTCACAATAAGAAAATAAGAATTGTCATTATTACCAATTCTCTAATTAAAAGGAAAACTCTCCTTTTTATTAGAGAATTGGTAATAATGACAATTCTTATTTTCTTATTGTGAAGAACTTTTCATAGCAATTATAATGATATATCAATATAATGTTCATCAGACAGACTAGGATTTCCTGTCAGCATTAAGAAGCTAATTATTATTATAAAACTAAAATTGTACTTTTTTATAACAATTTACAGATTATAAAGGTTGGTTTTTGAAATGAGAAATAGAAACTGATATTTAAAAGCAAGAAAATTGTTCTGATACTGAATAGTTAAATGAACTTCAACTTAATACAATTACTCCTTGCATAATGACTAATTCATTCCTGAAAACTCTGTCACAGAGCAGGAAGTCATTAAACAAATAAAAAAAATTCAATTAATTTCACTGTAAAAATTATAATTCATTCCATCATGACTGAAGATACCCAAATGGTTTTTATAGATAGAAAAATATAACAATTTAGAACATGAAAATAAGAGTATTTTTGTACTTGCCAAAAGAGTGTAAGAAGTTTTAATGAGATGATGGGTAATGGCTGATGATAAAGGAGAATAAGGGAATCATTCTTTAGAAAATTGTAGAGAATCAAATGATCTATTTTCTGATTCTGTATGAATCAGATGTGTTTCATGATAATTTTCTTTCTTGATACTTTAACACTAAAAATTTCTGATTTCATTTATTTCAGGTATCAATTTCTGATATGAAAGACTTTCCAATATCTGTAGAATTGGAAATATATCTGAGCTAGAGAAATTTAAGATGAAACTTTGCCTTTCATATTTTACATTTATGCATTATCATGTTTTTTACTCTTTGTGCTATGTGAACACTAAGAGAGTTTTTTAATCAAGCCCATTACAGGTTTTAGACCTATAATAGGCAATCAGGTGGTGTGAGAAACAGCCTAACATCCAGGATGGATCAACTTTGAAAAATTCTTGGTATTTTTGATTTACCCATATTCATTCCTGGGTTTCCCTTAGCAGTAGGTTGGCATTTTAACTGCTCATCTCATACATCTTTTAGGAGGCATATATGATAGCATTTTTGAAAGCAGTGCTTCTACAACATTGTCATATTCAGTAACAATATTTAACAAAATGTTTATATTGTCCATTTCTTTTATCTTAGCAGTTTTCAAAGATTTCTCTATCTTTTCTTCTTCATCATCATCATCAGAGAACTTATGTTTGTATACGAGTTCATCTAATGTAAATTCATCATGGGATTGAAAAAATTTGTCAACATCATCTGCGTCAATTTTCTGAACCAACATCTTTACTTTTGCATTTGCCATTTCATTAAATTTGTCATTGAGTCTTGAGGAATTTATCATAGTTTTTCCATATAAAATTCATGGTCATCAAAGTGACCTTCTTTTCAATCTTTTGTTTAATTGCTACAACTTTTCTCATTCTTTGTTTATTCTTTCTGCATCATTTTTATCTCTGTTTTTTAATTTAATTTGAGTTTATTGTTATAACATTCAAAATATACTTTAAAAAAGTTCATTATGGTAAAATAAAGACTACTTTAAATGCAAAACTTTAAAACTGAAATTAATTCATATGGCACAACAAACTGAAGAGCATGTTGCCAGTTTTAGAATAAATTAATGAATGCTTTTTTTAAAACCATAATGTTAAAATTTGGTTTTAAAAAAGTCACTATACAGAAAATGTTGTTATTTGAAAAGTGGTATAACTTTTGAAAAGCCATTATAATGACAATTTTTGGGATAGGTTTAGTATAGGTGCCTATGTTTTATCATGTCAAAACATTAGAAATAAAATTAATTAGATTAGATTAATTAGCTTTCAATTAATTGAATAGAATATTGTGTTATTAGGAAAAATTTAAATTATAACTAAGTTTAATGAAGTTTATTTAAAAAATATAATATTTATATTTTTTTGTATTTTTATAACTTGTATTCAATATATAAATTAAGGGAAAAGAGTGAGTAAATTTTTGATAGCATATATCAAGTATTAGTCAACAATAGTAAGTTTGACTGATTACAAAAAAGTTGGTTTTTCACAGAACAATCCTAATTAAGCAGTTATTGGTGAATTAAATTTATGAGAAGAATTATGATGTATCTTTTTTAATACAACAAGAAATTGTGTATAGTAATATCTGAATTGTTTTCTACTCAAATGTGATTTTGCATATTTTTAATTTCACTGGATAACTAGAAATTAAATATTTATCTCAGATTACTTTCTTTCCTTTTCAGCATTTTGTTGCGAGTGCTTTGCTGGTGACTGTGGACAGCGACAGCTTGCTCTGCTGCAAAATCTGCATTATTAATGCATGATTGGCTTTAAATCTGGAAAAAAGAGTGCAAGTATTTAGTTGTTATTTAAATCTTTTAAAATTCAACATGTCTGATGATGAAAGTAGAGATTCAAGGGGAGATACTGAAACTTACAAAAGTGATGGCAGCGATAATATATGCCGTGATTTTTTGCGAAATGTTTGTAAACGGGGTAGACGTTGCAAATATAGGCATCCTGATACAAATGAAACAGAAGAATTGAGTAGAAAAGTAAGATATGTGTTTTGCCACGATTATCAAAACAAAGAATGTAGGCGTGTAAATTGCAAATTTCTGCATTGTACTCGAAATGAAGAACAACAGTATCATCTTTATGGTCGTTTGCCTTCCCATTTACTTGATGCTGTTGCAATGGGTAAAGGTATTCCTTTTGATGCTCCAGCAAAAAAAGGAGAAATACCAATATGTAATGATTTTTTAAAAGGTGATTGTAGACGGGCTGGGCGTTGTAAATTTCGTCATGTTACAGAAACTGAGCAAGTTGATTCACCTCATATATGGAGACGAAAGAAAGAACGATTTGGCAATTTAGACAAATATAATGAAGTAGATGATTACGAACCTGAACCAAAACGACAAGCATTTGATCGTTATGCTAATAACTCAAATTATTTTTCAGAAAATAATGATAAATGCTCTTTAGTTTCTTCTGCTGTTGTACCTTTGGATTATCAATTACTTGAGGAAGAAAACACTCTACTTCGACATAAAATAGAAGAATTGAAAAAGCAAGTAACTGAACTTCAAGCTACAAATGAATTTCTTTTGGATCAAAATGCGCAATTGCGACTTAGTAAACAAACTACAGTATCACCAGTTACACAAACATTAAATCCTCACACTGCTACACCTTTGCCATCTGCTATTACTCAAATATCACAACAGTTATCTTTAGGAAATAGTGATCTTACAGGTGCAACTACTACTTTACCTACTCAGCATATTGCAACAGAGTTAGCAGCAGCTACCCAGCAAACTATCACACCAATAGTACCTGTAACTTTGGGGCAAGCAATTGCACCTGTATCAATTGCCACAGTGCCAGTGTCTATTGCATCTGTTCCTGTATCAATAGCTCAAGCACTGCCTGCAGCAGTTTCTCTTTCTCAGACTTTACCACAAAGCATTATTACTATGAGTGGCCCATCAACTCCTCTAGTGTCTTATCCAATAATGACACAAAGTATGCGTCCAGTTATAACTCATAGTTTAGGACGCTAAATTATTGAATAAAGCTGTTGCAAACAAAAGTAATTAAATAAATAAACCATTATCAGTTTTTATTTATAGCATACTGAGTATGAAATTTATTCATACATACATTTTTATCAATATGAATATTCATTGTTAATAAAAGTTAGTATGAATTTGCATCATATTTAATTTATGATGATTTGAACTTATGAATTGCCTAAAGATTGTTCATTGCTTTGCATTTTAGTCCATATGCTACATTAATTAACAACAATTTTTATAACAACATAGAAAAATTAAAAATGCAGATATTAAATGAAAATAGAAATAAAATTATTATTTTTTTGTTAAAAATATAGTATATCATTACACACTATGAATACTATAATTTAATTCAGTTAAATTCATTAAAACTTAATGAAATAGGTAAAATGTATTAGTAAAAAGTATGTACTAACTCTGTAATAATTACTAAACTTTCTTCCATATGGTATATAATTCATTGTAGTTTATTTTTTTGAGGGTTGTGTATTTTATTTTTATTATTTAGAATTGTTTTGTAACATAGAGTAGGTTAATCAACTTGTATTCTATTAAAACTAAAATATTAAATGTTACATACATTTATGTATTTAATTGATTTAAAAATTCAAATTATTATTTCAAATTTTTAAAAAGAAAATATGCACTAATAGTTATTGTGCAAAAATTAAAAAAAAACTTTTATTAGCCCTGATGTGGATTTTTGCATGATTATGTATTACTTAAAAAACATTGTATTAAAATTATATGGAAGTATTTTTTTAATTAAAATAAACTTCTTGAATCATGAGAATTAATATTTTATTTTTAATAATTCAAAATATAATTTCTAATACTTGTTTTTTATTTTCAGAGCAAATATATAAGAGCATTGATACGAGTTACATGAATTTATTAAGTCATGTTTAAACATTCTTCTAATATACAGTATATACAGGGTTCCTACACACCTGAAAGTCAGGGATTTTCATTAGTGTTTGGAAAATGTCATGGAAAGTCAGGGAATTTGTTTCCTTGTTGATTATGTTTGCTGACAGTATGGCTGACCAAGTGTAGCTGTCTGCAGGCAGCAAGAAGTACTGTATTGTGGTACAGTACAATGCAACTTATGAAAAGGGGGTGCAGAATATTTTCATGATTCAAAATTTCACCCAAAGATACACAAAATTTCTGCAAAATTATAGCGCACAAAATATACAAGCATACAACAATATCAATTATTTTTTTTAAATTTTAAAATACTTTTAGATTTTAAAACTGCTGTATTAATTATGTAGTATTATAAGTTTGAGACAAAAATTTAATACTCTTAATAATCTAATGTTGACAAAAAAAATTTCAAAAATTTTAACTCTCTCTCTCTCTCTCTCTCTCACACACACATAATTTACACTTTCACTTTGAGGGAGAGTGTTAATGAACTGATGAGAAAAAATGATTGTTAACAAAGAACCAAAAATGATAAATAATATCATTTGAATTAATATTATCATTTTAATAATTTTGTTTGCATAACAAAACAATTTCTGATTTCTGAAACTTTTTCCCAGATTAAGTTTGGAAAATTTATTAAGGGACAAATTTAATAAATTTATACTTTTGTACATGGATTATAAAGAATTTTTTAATAATAATTAATGGTTTTTTTCTTTTTTCAAAGCCATGAAGTTTTACAGTTATGAGTTAATAACAGGATAAATTATTTTTATTTAATAAAACATTTTAGTTTTTTGTAGAGAAGGTACACCATAATTCTATCTGTCTTATTTTAATTTTACTAATTCATTGATTATAAAAAATATATAACTGTTAATTAAAAAAAATAACCAGTTAAAAAGTTGGAGCACAATAGTGTACTGTATGTGTGTAGTAAGTCATATGATTATTTATTTTGTTACTGTGCCATACCATAAGAGATGTGAGAGTCAGGGAATTTGTACAAAGTTGGTCAGGGAAAGTCATGGAATTTAAAACAAAAATTTGAGTAGGAACCCTGTACAGTATATTTAGTGATATTGTGTTATTCTGTATTGTTTGGTTTGAAGTTAAAAGGGACTTAGAAGAATTTTTTGCATTCTAATACAAAATGTTTTATTTAATTCTTTAATATAATGCATAATTTTCATTCGTATTGTTTTAAATTTCATTCAAAGAAGTTTAATTCATTTTTAATAATATAAAAAAAACTTATTATAATTTCTTTCTTGCTACATGAAAAACACACATATATATATATACTATATATATGTGTAAAAATGCATATATATATATACTATATATATATGCATTTTTCAATTTTTTTTAATTAAAATGTATGTTATATGTAAAAATTATTTACACTTCTAAGTCTAAAAAATCATGCAAAATTCCAAAAATATTAGGGCATGACTTATTATTGTGGAATTATTTTAAATGTTCTTAAATTGTATCATTGTAAACTTTTAATATCTGAAATTGTAATGTATGTCAAGAGTTATATAAAGAAAACAAGAAAAAGAAATTATTTTCATACATTTTTTAATATGAATAGTATTATGGAAGTAAACAAAATTTTTAAAATTATTTTGATAATTTATTACTTTACAATTTTGAATGAAATCAATATTTTCACTAATAGTTTTATGTTTAAATACTTAATCTTTCACTTAATCTAGAAAGATTAAGTATAAAAGTAAATATTTTATTTCTTAATATTTGCAAAGTGATGTAGATAAATTACAAATATTTTTCATCAAGGTAAGTAAAATTTAACAGTAAACAGATATTACTAATTAATAACATTAATTGTTATAAATTAATAAAAATACTAAAAAGTACTAATAAATAGATTTAAATTTTGCAGATTAACAAATATTATATATGTTAGTTCTTTAATATAAATATTGAAAAGTGTTATTACATTTTACTAGTGGGTCTATTTACAAGTAAAATATTGTTAAAAGTGAAACATTCTTCAGTTTTTCTGTAATAGAATGTATTTTCTATTGTAAAGATAAGGTTCAGAAGTGATATGTTTACTTTTAATACTAGGGAACAAATTAGATGCCAATTTTCAAATATTATGATTGTATGAATGAATCCAGAATATAAAATTAATTTTATTGCTAAAATTTCAATGAGAAATTTTGAAATAAAAATTCTAAAGCATAAAAATGTTTTAAAAAAATACTGTTAGATAATTTTTATTGTTATCTAAATTGCTGTTAAAATAGAGTGACTTATACAATTTTAATTTGTCTTCATATTATCTTAATTTTATCTCATTATTATTCAAAGAATATTGGCTTAGTTTTAATTAAAGAAGAAAACTTATCTTTTTAATTGAAAATATATTTCTTTAGGATTGATGCATGTGATATTACAGAATGTATTAAAAGTTTATTATTTATAAAAATATTAATTATACTATGCTAAAACATTTAAACATGTTAATTTTTATGTTTTTAATGAAATCTTATTCTAGAAGATTGCTTTAGTTGAACACAGAAATGTTTATAAGACAATTTCATTCTTACTTTTAGTAGAAATATTAGATTGGAACTATTACAAGCATTTCCATAATAGGAAATACATTATTCAAATGTTAAAGTTTAAACATGGGTGCATTTCTAATGATTACCAGATGTAGAAAATTGTTGTGAATGAGTTTGGTGAGTTCTTTTGTCTTTTCATGTACTGTTATTGTATATTATTTCAAATATGAATAAATCAGCTCTACTTTTCCATCATCCTTTTTGAATAATTCCATATCATGTCTTTTGTCAACAATCATTTTTATTTGTTTTTCTTTCTCAACCAATAGAAGTTGATACGCATTCAACAGCAACTATTCTTTCTTCTAAAATATAAAAATCATAATGTTTTTACTTAATTCTGTTGTTTCAATCTTAGTAATATTCCATATTCTTGGAATGGAATGGAAGGTTGCTGATTTTGTGTTGAGGAAAATGATTTTTGTACAGAATTTAGCTTATTTAAAAATTATATTTGACCTAATTTCAAATATTATTGTAAAGGAGGTTCAAATATACTATAGGCCAAATAAGTTTTCATAAAACTATATCATTAAATGATTCCTTCTCTTGATAAAACAAAAATGTTAGCAAAAATAACTTTAATATAAAGAAATTGCTTTTTGCCCTTGGTTTAATTAAATTAATTAAAAACCTACTAATGTGAGGTGGGAATAAGGACATATCACACCAGTGATAATAAGCACAAACACCCAGTATAAATGGAATACATTTAATAAAACGAGGAGTGTACATTAAAATCAATTAAATCAGTGTTTTTCAATCTGTGGGTCGCAAAGCCATACACGGGGGTTGCGGGTAAAAGAAAAAGACAAGTGTTTGTAGGTTTTACGCGACAATAAAAAAACTACAATTTCAGTGAGAAGGCTGTGCCTGTTTATTTTACAGTACAATTAGTTTTTTGATCGATATTTAAATCTCAACAGAAAGAAAATTAAATACATAGTTTTTAAAATCACTGACTTAGTTTTAATATGGCTGTGGAGGTCGCCAAAACTTTTTAACTTGTAAAGGGGTTGTGTATTCAAGAAGGTTGAAAAACACTAGATTAAATTAACAGTTAACATGAAATAACCAAAATGCATTTCGGACTATCGGAATAGTCCCTCTTCAGTTGGTATACATATATAAAAAAGGTGAAATACTTAAAATTATACAAGACAAAGGAACAGTTATAAAGGTATGATCATTGAACAATAAATGGGTGTTTGTGCTTATTATCACTGGTGTGATATGTTCTTATTCCCACCTGACATTAGTAGGTTTTTTAATTAATTTAATTTAAAAATAAGTATTAAGAAATTTGCAAAAATGAATAAATGTTATAAGGATAAAATCTACCAAAAAGTAAATACTAGCTAGCTTCAGGTTTTAGTTTATCTCCATGAAAAAATTTTAAGTGGTTGATCTGCAATTTTAAATAGCTGCTATTGCAAACCTCAGTTAATGACACATAACTAAACTTATACTGTAATACTAATACTAATCTGTAGTTCAGTTATCTTTAAAAAAAGAATAATAAATTTGTTTTAATTTTTATTATTTTATTTATTTTTGACTAGTCGGAAATTATTTAACAGGTTAGACAACAAGCAAAAAAACAGCTTCAGAGGAATAGTAATATTCTGATATTCAAAGATAGTCCTGATATCCTGAAATTGGAATGTTTCAAAGTTCTCTACTTTCATAGACACTAATTTTCAAATGTGTGCAATTTCTATGGGAAACATTGATTGAAACAATTCTCATATAACTAGAAAAGTTAGAAATTATATCATACATGTGAGACTTTTCTTTGTCTTTTAAAAAACTTTAATTGAGATAAGAAAGACTTTGATAACAGGAACGTTTTAAAGAATACAGATTACATGAAAGTATTGTGATTATTAATTAAAAACACAAATGTAGGACTTCTTTTTCGTCTTCCGTCTTTTCGCGCGTCTTCTTCTTCAACCGTCGTCTCGGTGTCCTCCTCTGAAGTCGCGTCCCCTCTCTCTGCCCTCGTCGTCCTCCCTCTCCTCGACTCCCTCTCCCAGCCCCTTCGTCTCTCGTCAGCAGATCGCGTTTCACATTCCACATACATTAAAGTTTACAAGAATAAAAACAACAGAATGCATTATTGCTAGAAATTGAGAAATCATACATATTGTTTGGCTGTCCACCTTAATAGTTATAATGAATATGAAGAGGAAAGATAAAGGCTGGACTCAACAGTATAGCCTTAAGAGAAAAGGGGGAAAGTGGGAAAAGTAGGGAGGAGGGATTGGAAGAGGAAGGAGAGGTAGAAGGGTTTCTGGGTGATTGCTGTAAACTGTTATGAGAGCATAATATAAAACATATATAAGAAGTCCACATAGTGTGGTAAAGGCAGTAAATGCTAGGTGGAGATGCTCAAGATAAATTTACATAAAAATTTTTAAATTCCCTATAGCTATAGTCTTTATTATCAATGAAGTTGTTGAGGTCATACATTCTTCTTAATTAATTACTTGTATAATCCAGATCCAGTTTTATAGATGGTTAGAGCAAGCGAAAAGCAGGTGCATGGGATCTTATACCTCATTGCAATTGCAACTGCAGATTTTATTTCCCTATCCAGAAACCTGATCGGGTAGGCCCCCATGAGCTGTTAGCATTTGGGTCAGAAGGTGCATGGTATAGAAGTGATGGTTATTGAGCCTGCATTGGATTATGGGTATGAATTTGTTAGTGATGTGGCCAGTTTTACTACTATCCCAGTCTTTTTGGTAGGTTTCACTTGAGAAGGCCTGTAGGGTGTCCTGAATCTAAGTTTTTGGTATTGAATGTAGAGGAGGACATAACTGCTTTTTTGACTAGAAAGTCTGCCCTTTCATTCCAGGGTAGCCATTATGTCCCCTGACCCAGAGAAAGTTGATCTAGATACAGTGCCACATCTTTGCTATGATATTGAGGCAGTCCTTGATAATAGGCAAGTTATAGTTCCTATTACTAACCTGAATGACGTCTGCCAGAATAACTTCTTCCTGGGGTCAGTAAGAACTACTGCAGCACTCACAGCATCTGTGGTCTTAGAACCATTGGTGAACAGGTTTAGTCCATTGGTGGCTGATCCTGATGGATGTGAAAATTACAATATGTTTGCTCTGTGGGATGATAGAGATGACTGAGATTTGTGTTGTCCAGGCCATTTTTAGTGATAAATCCAACCAGCTCATTAATTATCTCTGGGAGGTCTTGCTTAATGACCTGGTTGTGCAGTTGGGTTGGGTTGGGTTGGGTGTTGTTATGTCATTCTTGGCAATGTTCATGAGGAAGTGTTTAAAAACCATTCCATAATAACTAAATTAACAGGTAGGAGACATGCTATTACCAGGAGTGTATCAGTGGGGATTGATTTATATGATTTCACAATGGCAATGATGGCAATCCGCTGAGCAAAAAGGAGCTTATGACTGATGTGGACTTTCTGGATGGAGTAGCCCATCTTACTGCCTTAAGTGAGGATGGGCTCTATAGCATCTTTATATAGGATTCTACTGTTTGTAGTGTTAAGTCCCCAGTTATTTTTAGCAGTGCTCTTTAATGCTAAAACAATCTCAAAGATTTTGTTGGCTGCTGCA